AGCAGCAGCCGTTAGCAGCAGCAGCAGCAGCAGCAGCAGCAGCAGCAGCAGCAGCTCACACGCCAATGCTCCGCGCAACGCACCGCAGCGCAGTGATGCCCCGCCCGACCCCCGAGCTCAGCCGCTCGGTGAAGGGGGCGCCTCTCGCGCATTCGCCGTCGACTGCGCTTCACTCTCACGAGGCCACTCTGGCCGGCGCCCGCCCGGCAGCAGGCAGCGAGGTCAACGGCGCGAAGAACATTGCGCTCGGGATGGAGGATCCGGCCTCGACGGACCTTCCTAACCTCCGCCTCTCCACTGTTTCCCCTCCCGTCGCGTCCTCGCCTTGGCTCAACAGCCTCGCTGGTCAACGTAGCCCTCGTGGGGGTGCCACCAGCCGCGCCCCCCGCGCCTTTGCCATTCGGGGCGCGAGAGATGCACCCTCCAGCGGTCGACCGCCTCGAAAGACCTCGGACCCCGTTGCTGTGTCGAGCCCCGCGTTGCGCTTCATGGTGGGGGCTCAGGGCGGGCGTCTCCTTTCGCCGCCAGGCCTCGCCGAGTGGGGGGTCGCCCCCCGTCCCCCCGTCCTGGCCTCTTCGCCGGCTGTCGAAGTCGGGCGGGGCGGGGAGGCGGGGCGGGGCGGGGCTCCAGCGGCGGACGGCACCGGCCCAGGCGGAGTTGACTTGCTTGGCATGCGGCCATCCAGCGCTGCTGCTGCGGCCCCGCAGAGGGGGGGTCGCACCGCTCTCTGCACTGCTTCCGTGGCGCGCAAGCTCGGCACCCCGCCCTGGAGCAGAATTCAAGGGCCGACTCGTCATCGCGCGCTGGCTTCTGCCCCCTCTGGGGTGACTTTTGGGGAGCATGCAGGGTGCGCCCTGCCGGCCCTGCCTACCGCACGGCCCCTACAGGCCATACTGGCCATACCAACCCTACCAGCCTCACGGGCCGTGCCGGCCCTGCCGTCTGGCGGCCCCACCGGCGGCGGCTCTACCGGCAACCCAACCGGCGGCATTACCAGCGATTTTGCCCGCGGCCATATTGGCGGCCTTACTGGCCCTGCCGGTCCTACCAGCACTACCGTCCTTGCCAGCCCTACCGGCCGTACCGACTCTACTGGCCTATATGGGCACCTGGCCTTACCGGCCCTACGGACCCTACCAGCCCTACCGGCCCTACCAACCCCTCGTGGGCGCCGCGTGCGCTGGGTGGGTGCGTCCGGGTTTCGCTTGGTCCCCGCCCCTGGGCGCCTCGCGGCCGCTCTGTGCGCTGGGCAGGTGTGTCGGGATTTCGTCTGGTGCCCGCCCGTGGGAGCCTCGCGGTCGCCCCGTGCGCTGGGTGGGTGTGGCGAGGTTTCGACATGTGTACCTCGTGGGCGCCCCATGCGATGGGTACACCATATACTGGAACGCATAGCTTGCATCAAAAAGATTGCACTAAATAGTTTGCACCACTTAAGAGCACCACATAGGTTACAGCGCATGGATTGCGCCACGCAGTTTCTCCTTTCTTAAAAGAGAATAGGGTCCACCACCCTCCCCCCCCCCGGGTTACAGATCCCCCGGGAACCGATGCGAAACACATAGGATTATGCCCCATCGTCCATCCTAAATATGAATTTACACTATCCCAGGGGGGCCGGTATCGGCCCCCCCGCCATCCTCTGCAAAAACTACTATGCGCACACTCGTTTATCCAAAATCATAAGTTTTCAAGAATCCCTTGCAAAAAACGGGACGAAGTGCACACGCGCGCGTCGTCGCGCGCGCATACCGAAATCCTTCAAAAACCATCGGATTCGGAAGGATTTCAAAATCTAGCTCCCAAAAAAAAATACAAAAACTAAGGGTTTCGCGACAATGATTTTCAAACAAAAATTACACGCGCGTTTTTGCTAAATCTTAAGGAAACCATGGGTTTTTTCAATTATTCCCCGCAACAAAAAAAAGAACAACAAAAAAAAACGGGCTGCGCGCGCGCAGGTCGAAATCGTTCGAACGCCCTTGCGCGCGTGCCGTCGCGAGAAGCCTCAGCAAAAAATGGGACGAAGCGCACGCGCGCGCGTCGTCGCGTGCGCATGCCGAAATCCTTCAAAAACCTTCGGTTTCGGAAGGATTTCAAAACCGAGCGTCCGAAGAACATACAAAAACACAGGGTTTCGCAACACGGATTTTCAACAAAAGCGTGCGCGCGCGCTCGTGCGTCGCCGTCGTCGTCGCCGTCTTCCCTCCTCCCTCGTCGTCGTCGTCGTCGTCGCCGTCGTCGTCCTCTGTCTTTCCTCGTCGTCGTCGTCGTCCTCCTCCTCTTTGGCGTCGTCGTCGTTTGAGTCGTCGTTGTCGCCGTGGTCGTCCTTCCTCCTCCCTCGTCATCGTCTCGTCGTCGTCCCCCCTATTTCGTCGCCGTCGTCGTCGTCATCGTTGTCTCCCCTCTTCCCTCGTTGTTGTCGTCGTCGGCGTCGCTGTCATCCCTCCTTCTTCGTCGTTGGCGCGCGCCGTCGCCGTCCCCCCTCCTCCCTCGTCGTTGTCGTCGGTGCCGCCGTCGTCGTCCTCCTTCCTCCCTCGTCGTCGTCGTCTTCGTTGGCGACGTCGTCGTTGTCGTCGTCGTCGTCTTCGTGGTCGTCGTCAGCGTCAGCGTCGTCGTCGTCGGCGTCGTCGTCGTCGTCGGTGTCGTCGTCGCCGTCGTCCTCGTCGTCGTCGGCTTCGTCGTCGCCGTCGCCGTCGGCGTCGTCATCGTCGTCGTCGGCGTCGTTGTCGTCGGTGTCGCCGTCGTCGTCGTCGTCGTCGTCGTTGTCGTCGTCTTCGAAGTCGTCGGAGACGTCGTCGGTGTTGTCGTAGTCGTCGGCGTCGTCGTCGTTGTCGCTGTCAACGTCGGCGTCGCTGTCGCTGCCAAGTGCCATATGGTACCCACCGTCACGGTCTCAAGAAGTCGTGCGACCAAGTTGCGGGTGTGAGGGTGGGATGTTTGCACGAGCAGTGGTGAGGACAGCTTCAAGACAGTCAAAGTGAATGTTACCACATAGTCTGAACCACATATCATGCCCGCAATGATTGTATCAAATATATTACACCAAATAGCCTTCACAACGATGTCGCACAATCGAAATGAATCAACGTACATGGTGAAGTTAATAGCGGTGAGCTTGTAGTTGTCAACTCAACTGCTCGAACACTCACTCCACCCTCCTACCCGCAACTTGATTTGCAAACCCCATGCGGCGATGATTGCGATGACTGCTCGGCCATGGCTGGCGCATCTCTGCGGCCGCGCTGGCGCGTGCAAGCTCGCGCGCAGAGCGACCAGCTGGTTTGGCGCTACCGATGCGTCCGCGATGGTGTTTACCACGGCAACGTCCCAGCGCGTGAAATGCCGCGCTGGCACGCGGGCGCTTCAATGCGGATCGGTGGTTCGGGCGGGCGCGGTATCATGATGACATCGACAGCAGCGGCAACGATGATGATAGTTGCGACGGTGGTGGCGATGATGACGATGACGACAGCGAGGGCAATGGCGGCGCTGATGCTGGCAACGCCAGAGACAATGATGATGATGTCCATGTGTCGATGATAGGGTCGGGGAAAGATTTCGACATGCGCGCGCGGCCGACGAGCGCGAGTGGCCCGCTTGGTTTGATGTGACAATGAATTGGCCCCCCAAACAAGCGCGCAAGACGTTCAAATGATTTCGACATGCGCGCGAGAGCGAGGCCCGCGCGGTCGCGTTTGACGGAAGTGTTGAAAAACGTGTTTGCCCGGTGGATTTGCAAGAGCGCGTGCGTGTGCAAATCTTTGAATTGGAAATGCTTGGAGAACAAGTGTTGTTGCTTGGCTGCTCGAGAACCTCGATCTTGAAACCCCGTACGAAAACACGCGTTTTGGAAGGATGTTGGCACGCGTTGCAAAGAATGATTGGCAATAAATGTTGTGATGGACAGGGCGCGCGCGCATAGTATTATTTTGCGTGGGTGGGGGGGGGATGAGGGTACTCCCAGGGATGGTAGGCTGTCGTATGCAAAATGAACGGTCAGGCAAGACCAGATGTAATTAGCAGTGTCCCATGGGGGGGGCGATAAGCCCGGTGAAGACAAGGTGGTGTAGTCGATTATTGGTTTTGGAAGGAGAAAGTATGCGGTACGAGCCATGTCGTGCACCCTCCGCCATACCCACCGAAGGCACGGGGCGACCGCGAGCACGGGGCAACCGCGAGGCGGCTACAGGCGGGCACCACGCGAACCCCGACGCACCAGGCGAACCCCGCCCGCGGGTGCCCACTACGCGCCCACAGGCGGCCACCAACCAAGCACCATGCGACGCTCCAACATGTCCACCCAGCGGCGCACGGAGCGGGCACGGGCGGCCACCAACTGGGCACCTGACGCAACCCCGACACACCCATCCACTGAATGAAGAACTCAAGCAAGAACGCCAAAGTGCAAGCATTGTTGGGGAAACGATCTACCCTCCCAATATGTCTAGCATGTGCGCGGTTTGTGGTGTTCGGCGCAGAGGTTTCGGTAGCGGTGAGGCTCCCAGCTCCGCTAGCCCAACACAAGATCCGAATTCGTTCCGTGCTAAATCCAATGAATACCCGACTGGAAGCGTTTTCGCGCGGAGAGGAAACTATTCCGCCTACTCCGCGCGGTCGCGGTAATGTCTGTGGCTTTTGTTTATGTTTGAGGTTTTCTCCCGATGCGGCACCAGCGTTCGTCGTGACTTCCTCCCGCGTAGCAATCATGATTTCATTGGCGATGGTGTTGGCCAGCCTTCGGCGCCACATGCGACCGCTGGCCAAGATGGTATGAGGGCGTCAGCAGCGCAAACATTCACTGAGGCTTCTGTAGAGAGTATATGTTTACACACACGTGCATATATATAGGGGAAAAAGGATAGACTCTTGTATCTACATATACCTATATATACATATATATATATATACACATATATATATATGTATGTATATATACACACGCTCTCTCCCTTTATCCCCACCCTCTCTGACTACCCCGGTTTTCCCTCCCGTCCATGTTCCGCGCACGAGGTCTACAGTTCGATGGCTCGGGGGAGCGCCTCAGCGTGGTCGCCGCGCGGAAGCAGGGGCTCGACGGCTTCCCGCTGCACCTCGGAAACCTCGGCGAGAACGGCGGACGAGTGGCCCCGTAGATGGCCTCGTCGTTCCACCCGCACCAGTGAGAGAGGTTCAATGTTTAGTGGCGGCAAGGTTTCCATGGGGCTGCAAGTAGCATCGTCCTCCTCGCGACCGTCGCGGTCCGCTTCATCACCTCGACGACGAGAAATCGCCACGTGCACAACCAACTGTCTGCCGTCCGCGAGGGTTTCCTGGATCGGCGCTGGACCCTGGGAAAGTCTGCGTGTTGTGCCGATGTCTCGTCTTTGTTCTCCTTGCGCCTCCACTCTCCCTCTCTCTCTCTCTCGCCCTCCACTCTCTCGCTCCACTCTCGCCCTCCACTCTCTCTCTCTCTCTCTCTCTCTCTCGCCCTCCTCTCTCTCTCTCTCGCTCTCTCTTTCTATCGCTCTCTCGCCCTCACCTCCCCCTGCGCCTCCACTCTCTCTCTCTCTCTCTCTCTATTTCTATCTCTCTCGCTCCCTCGCCCTCCCTGGGCCGCCTCAGCCATGCCCAGCGCGCGCCTCAAGTCAGCGGGCAGATTGGGATCATTGCCTCCCTGGCCGCCGAGGATTGCGCATGGCGAAGCTTCTGGTGGACAGTTCGGCCCGATGCACGCCAGGCCAGGGGCCACCAGATTGCCACACGAGTGCAGGAGAGCTCCTGACACCTCGATGTGTTTTTGTATGTATCCTTCCCTCTCTCGCATGCTGTCTCTCCCTCCCTCCCTCTCTATCATGCTCGATCTCTCTCTCGTTATCTATATATAAATAAAGAGAGAGAGAGATGGTTTGCCATCCGTCTATCTCTCTATCATGATATCGCCTTGTAAAAATGCGCACACACCTATATATGTATGAATATGTGTATATATATGTGTAAAAATATACACATACGTCCATACATATGTGTACGCGTATGTATATACACGTAGTTACGTGTGTAAACATATACGTATACCAATACAAATGTATATATAGTTATGTACATACATATATATATATATATATATATATATATGTCTATAAATGCATGTACACTGTATACATGCGTGTGAGTATGTCTCTCTCTCTCTCGTTCTCTCACTCTCTCTCTCTCTCTCTCGCTCTCTTTCGCTCTCTATCTCTCTTTTTCTCTCTCTCTCTCTCTCTGTCACACTCTCTCTCTCTCTCTCTCGCTCTCTGTCTCCCATTCGTTCTATGTATCAGTACCTCGCTTTCTCTTTCTATTTCTCTTGTAGCCGTCTTGGGAGCCTCTGGAGCCGTTTTAAGCGACTCTTAAGCCGTTTGAAGATCATCTTGGGCCGGTTTGGGACCTTGCTTAAAGCATATTTGGCCGTCTTGGGCAATATTTAGGGCCTCTTGGTCTGTATGCATTGCACATGGATTGTCTTTCCCTCTCTCTCGATCTGTATGTATGTTGTGTATAAGTGCACAAATTACATGTATATGTATATATATATACATATATATGTGTGTGTGCGTGTGTATCGATATATGAATATATATATATATATATATATATATATATATACACATATACATATACATATACGTCTGCGTATGCACACACAAATCTCTACTTTTATCTAGTGGTTTTCGGCTCAGGCACCGGTTGTGGGTTAGAGGCCTCTTGGATGTTCGCTTGGATATCTTGGGAGGCTTGGGCTGCTTGGGAGCCTCATGGGGCCTCTTTTTGGCACTCGTGGGAGCCTCGTGGGGCCTCGTGGGGGCCTCTTGGGCTCTCTTGGGGGCCGCATGGGGCCTCCTGGAGTCTTGGGGCGGAAGGCTCGAACTGTCGGTTCGTGTTGCCCTTCTTGGGGCCCTGTTGGGCGACCTTGGGCGCCTCTTGGGCCCTTTGGGGGCCCTCTTGGACCGTCTTGGGGCCCTCTTGGGGGCTTCTTGGGGCGGTTTTAGGGGCCTCTGGGACCATCTTGGAGCGTCGGAAGCCCGAAAACGCGATAACGCGAAAAACGTTGAAAAAAACAAGTGTCCTCTTGAAGCGCTCTTGGGGTTTCTTTGGAGCCTCTTGGGCCGTCTTGAGGCCATCCTTGGCGTCTTGGAGCTCTCTTGGCCTGTCTTGGAGGCCTCTTGGACCCTTTTGGGCGCTTTCTGGGGCCCTCTTGGCCCGTCTGGGGGCCCTCTGGCTTCTGAAAAAGCCATGCGTGGCAGCCCAGGAGCGCGCGGGAACGCCCAGGAAATTTGAGATTCATGGGGCCCCAGTCCTTAGAATACTATAACCCCCCAGTCCTAGGGAAACCTTGAGGACCTGAGGGCACTCCACTTCGTGCCTCGAGGCACCGTGGCATATGTATGTATTCATATATATATATATATATATATATAGACAGACAGACAGACAGACATACATACATACTATAATCATCGCGCGCGCTTCGCGCGCGCTCAAGTTCTAGCTAGGCTTGATAGGCTAACTAATGTAATATCATGTTGGTCGCTTCTTGCGTCCAGGGACTCCCTTGGAGGCCCTGCTCAAGCCTCGGAATCATATAGAAGAGGAAGTGCGGAAACGCAGAAATCATTCATTTCCTTTAGGTATTCAGCGATTTGGGGCCCTCAATGGCTTCCTGGGTTCTTTTTTGGAAGGTGAGGGGGGTCTGAATTGTGGTCTGTTGTGCAAGAGTAGTCTGGGGGGCAAAATTGAAAAAACAACAAAAAAAGGAATTGTGGGATTTCCATGCTTTTCCAGTTCCTCGGCGCTGTTCGGCGCTGTCTTTTGTTTGTGCCTCGCGGGTTTTGTTAGCCGAGCCCCTCAGGGGTGTGGGATCTTCCGGACCCCCTGGAGCTTCTGGAGGCCTCCTGGAGGCCTGGAGAGCCGCTGGAAGGGTGTCTCGGGCTGCGCGGGAGCGTGTTGGGCCGTTCTTTACGTTCTGGGGGCTCCTTCAGGTCGTCATGGGCTGTCCTTCGGCGTCTTGGGAGGAGGCGCGATACCGGCCAGACGTCAGGGGATGTGTGGGACCCTCGAGTAGGAGTCTCATTTTGAAAACAAGGAATTCTGGGAATTTTCGATTAAAAATAATAAAAGTTTAAAACAAAAAATCCTCGATCTTCGAGGGTTGGAAGCGGGAAAACGTGAGAAGGCGAAAAACATTAGAAAAACCGTGGGAAATCAACGGGTTTACCCTCTTTGGGCTCTCTCGGGACGGCTCTCGCAGCTCTCTTGGGCTGTTCTTGGAGCCTCGTCGGGGTCTCGTTGGGGCCTCTCAGGGACCGGGGGGGTGTTGGGGGCCTCTGGGGTGTCCCGGAGGCCTCTCGGAGGTCTCTGGAAGCCTCCTGCTCCCGCTCTTGGGCCCATCTTGGGCCTGTTCTGGGTGGTCTGGGGATGTCCTGGGCGCCTCTTCGGCAATCTTGGAGCCTTCTTGGCCCGTCTTGGGGCCGTCCTGAGGATCTCTTGGGTGGTCTTGGGAGCCTCTTCGGCGCTCTTGGACCATTGGAAGCTCGAAAACGCGAGAAGCCAAAAACATTGAAGAAACAATGAACATCTACGATTTGGGCCTCTTCGGGCCGTCCCGTGACACCTATCAGACCTCTCTTGGGCTCTCTTGGAGGGCACCTGTGAGCCAAGAGAGCCGTCGGAAGGCTGACTTGGGCTGCTCGGGAGCGTATTGGACCATTCTTTCGAATTCTGAGGGCTTCTGGGAGGCGTCTTGGGCCCTCCTGGGACGCTGTGGAGGCTCCCCGGAAAGGCCGGGGGAGCAGTATCCGGAGCGTCCCCGAGATGTGGCGGGGAGGGACCCGGGGCCAGGGGGGGCGGTAATTATACATTTGCATTATACAGAACCGCGCGCGCGCTTCGCGCGCGTTTGGGTTCTAGCGCATGCCATGGCGTTGTGAGCTGCGCGTGCTTTTCGGACAGGCTCATTCCATGCCTTGCCCTACCTCGTCCTCCAATACTCCTTATATGTCCTTCCTCGTTAACCCTCCAGACTCTCTCGGTTGTCCTCGCTTTTCGTTTCTCGTCTTGCTTGGGATTATGCGGGGGCTTCGAGCTGTTCAGGGCCGGCGCGAGATGATATTCAATATGAAGTGGGCTGCCTTGAAATGTACGGGTCTTTTGTGGATCTTCATGTTGGGGCTGCCTTGAAGGCCTTCGGGCCCGCTTGGGTCCCTCTTGGGCTCTTCTTCGAAGTTGTGGGGCCGTCTCGAGCCTCGGTGCCATGTGAAGCTCTCCCGAAGCCATCCGAAGGAGACGAGCGTGAGATTTACTGAACATGGAAAAACCTGAATGGCTTTTGCGTTTGTGGCTCTCTGGGGTCATTTGGGAGGGCCTTTGGGAGTTCCACTGGGGCATCTTGTGGCCCCTGGGGGCCGCCTTGAAACATCTTGGAGCGTCTTGGATAAGGGGCCACCTTGGCGGCCAGCGGGCGTCGATTGCTCTGAGTAGAAAGTGCCTGAGATGCAGCGGCCAGCGCTGTACATGAGCTGTTACCTTGGGCTGCAGCTCGCTGGATTCTGCTGCGTGAAAGGCGCTGCTACCCTGGGCTGCAGCGCAATGCAATTAAATACCCCGGCATTACCTATCCCACACGGCATTTGAACGAGAGATGGACATGCTTGGTTTGCGCATGAATGTCTGTCCTGAGTCCTGAATGGATGACCATCGAACCCAAATGCAAAATTCCCAGATTCCTTGGGGCCTTCGAAAGCTCCGCGAAACCGTTAAGAAGCCGGGAGGCGCGGTACCCGCCAGATGTCAGGGGATGTGTAGGACCCCCGAGTAGGAGTCCCACTTTGATGAAAAAAAGGGAATTCTGGGAATTCCCTTTTTTCCAAAATCTTCAATCTTTGAGGATTGGAAGCGGGAAAACGTGGGAAGGCGAAAAACATTGGAAAGAAAGCACGGGGAATTAACGATGTTGCCCTCTTTGGGCTCTCTCGGGACGGCTCTCGCAGCTCTCTCGGGCTGTTCTTGGAGCCTCGTCGGGGTCTCGTTGGGGCCTCTCAGGGATCGGGGGTGTGTTGGGGGCCTCCTGCTCCCGCTCTTGGGCCCATCTTGGGCCTGTTCTGGGGCGGTCTGGGGCTATGCTGGGTGCCTCTTCGGCAGTCTTGAAGCCTTCTTGGCCCGTCTCGGGGCCGTCCTGAGGGTCTCTTGGGTGGTCTTGTGGCGGTCTTGGGAGGCTCTTCGGCGCTCTTGGACACTGGAAGCTCGAAAACGCGAGAAGCCCAAAACATGTTTTAAAACAACAAAAAAATGAGCATCTACGATGTGGGCCTCTTCGGGCCGTCCCGTGACACCTATCAGACCTCTCTTGGGGTCTCCTGGAGGCCACCTGGGAGCCTCGAGAGCCGTCGGAAGGCTGACTTGGGCTGCTTGGGAGCGTCTTGGGCCATCCTTTCGCATTCTGGGGGCTCCTGGGGGGCGTCTTGGGCCTTCCTGGAGCGTTGTGGAGGCTCCCCGGAAAAGGCTGGGGGAGCGGTACCGGGAGCGCCCCCGAGATGTGGCGGGGAGGTGTGGGACCGGGGGACGGTATTTATTCATATATCTATATAGATATATATATATATGTATATATATACAAACATACAAACATACATACATACATACATACATACATACATACCTACATACATACATACATACATACATACATACATACATACATACATTCATACATACATACATAGATACATAGATACATATATACATACATACATACATACATACATGCATACATGCATGCATGCATGCATGCATGCATACATACACACA